GTGTGTGTGTGTGTGTCTGTGTGTGCGCGGGTGTGTGCGCGCGCGCGCGCGTGTGTGTGTGTGTGTGTGTGTGCGCGCGGGCGGGTGTGTGTGTGTGATGTGTCACAGTGTGTGTGTATGTGTGCCGGGGGGAGGGTTGGAACTTGGAGGACCTCCCCCACCAATCAATCAATCAATCAATCAACCAATCAATCAATCAATCAATCAATCAATCAATCAACCAATCAGAGAGAGAGAGAGAGAGAGAGAGAGAGAGAGAGAGAGAGAGAGAGAGAGAGAGAGAGAGAGAGAGAGAGAGAGAGACAAATGCCAACTTGAAAAATAATGCAGAATGTGGCTGTGTTAACTACCCAACGCCGACAATCGATCTACGACAAGGCTTGGACTTGGCAGCTGCAAGCTTAAAACCACGGTAAGTGCTAAGCATGTGATCATTGTGCCGACTACCGGTACTCACGAAAACATTAGAGAAAATACAAAGAATTCAACACTATTAAGTATCGTCGTCCGCCGCCCAGAGTAATGGCCGTCTTCATTTGGAGTTAAGAAAAAAAGGTAAACAATAAACAAAAACAGAGTTGGAGCAAAACACTCAACTCCCCCCCCCCCCTCCTCCCCCCCCTGTCGAATACGACCGGAGAGGCGGCAAGGAAGGCATGCTCATCAAGGGGGATGGAGGAGTCCGACGGGAGGACTGCTATTGAAGGGCGTCCACGTGGACAGACAACGATGCAAGTGGCAAAGGCCAGTCAGTGAGTTCCGTGGGGGATGCCATGAAGAACGGCACGAATCCCGTTTCTACCTCTCCCGTATAGCCTTTGCTATCCCAAGTATGCTTGGCACCTGAGGTTGCTGACATCATCCAACACCGCGTAGTGCTTTCTCTGCACCTCAACCTCCACTTCCATGGCTTAGCATTGCCGAATTTGAATGGAACACTGCCTCTTGCTAGCACTCTCCATCGTCGTTGCCATTAGCATCCCGTGCTTCTCCATGCACTCCGTGAGAAACTTCGAAAGTCTGCTCCCTCATCTTGCCAAACCTGCCAGTGCTACCTGTAAGGACTGATTTTGTACATAACCAGTTGGAGGAAGAACCCCCTCCCTCTTGTGATTCTTGAAGGCCACCACTCCCACCACAGGCCTACCAGAGCTTTGCAGATACCTGGATGCATGGGTAAAAAGTTTCCAAAACCAGAAAATATATGCTCTGCAGCCTACTCCTTGACGGCCTGCAAAAAAAATGCTCTGCTTCTTAGGCTTTGCATCTGCGGTTGTATTCCCTGATTGTGGCTTCCCCCCGGCCCAGACCATGGGGAATGGTTACTGGTGGAGACTGATCACAATAGCCCGGGCTCTCAACAAACTCCCCCCCCCTCCACTCTTCCGAAACAACCTTTAGAGTAAGGATTACAAAACAGATTGAAAAAAGAAAAAAAAAACAATTGGCTCCGTGGCTCTGTTTGTGCGGACTTGAAGTCATCCCCACCTTCCTCCAGTATATCACTGACAGTTTTCTTTTGAGTGCAGCACATCTTTGCGATGTCTTAGCAACAAAATACGAGGTTGCGCGCGCTGTGTAGCTGATATGATACGAGCATACTAAGGCACTCTCTCCCCCGCCGAAGGTTGCTGCTTACCCGTGGTAGGAGCCGCGACTATGGCTGCTGCCATCTCTTTGCCAGAACTCTTGGCGGTACCCTGGGCTAGTGTAGGCGCCTCGCCGGGTTGGTGTGGGGTGCTGGGCGCTCCTGCTGCTAAGCAGCCCCCTTGTTGGTGCCCTGACTACCGTTTCCCTGTAGGCGAAGTGTTGAGCATGTGCCTTCTGAATCTCCTCCATTGCCTGCCTGATCTTCCCACCGTAGAGCTCGAGATCGTAAAGGCTCTGTATGCTCTTATGGATGTCCTCGACAGAAGCTACAGCACCGGAGTCCTCAGCGTGGCCCCTTCCAGACTCGTTACCTCTCATCGCTGCCATTAGGATCTTCACCTCCTCCTCGTAGTCTGCTCTCAGTCTCTCTAATCCTTGTAGAATTTTTGTGTTGTTCGCCCCCGCAGCCCGGAGGTTCCTCTCCTCCTCTATCAAGTGGTTGAGGTACTCGAGTGTGGCGTCGTTGTACGGACTGATGGCGTTGTGTTTGAGGAACATGGCGAAACTGGCGCTGGTCTTGTAGATGGCCTTCTGCTCGGCGCGCATCTTCTCCTGCCTCGTCTTCATCTCCTCCACGATCCTCTTCAGCTCGGCTCTCGCCTGCTCCTCGGTCTGGATCCTCATGTCGATCTTGTCGTCTCTTTTGTCCATTTTGATGATCTTCGTCTCTACCATGACGTGCAGGTGGACCGACCAGTCGCAGGCGCACTTCTTGCATTTGCCGTCTCTCCTCATCATGGAGCAATCCCGGAGAGCGGGGGTGTTGAGGGTATCCACCTCCACAGTCTTGAGATAGCAAGGTCTGTGGCATCGGGTCTTGTAGTCGTACTTGTTAACGCCGGCGATGGTAACCATGTCCCGACAGCTGGGGCCCGCGCACACCGTGTGAGGCTTATCTAGGTTCTTGTACTCAATGTCCATGCAGGGGACAAAGAGATGTTGTTTGAGCTCCTCGAGGGTGGTGCTTGAGGAGGCGTCCTGTGCCATCTTCTCATCGATGACCTTGATGTTCATCTCAATGAGTCGACTGATGTCACCCAGCGGCCGCGAAAGCCGAAGGATGAGCCGCCGTGCCTCGTTCACAGACACCGTGTCTTGCACTTGATGGGGTGTTAGACTCAGAATGTGGTCCATGAGTCGCCTGCACTCTCTCACCGACACCACCCAGCTCTCCGCGAAGTCGTCCATCTGCCCTGGGGTGAATGTCACCCCCTGTTTCACGGCTGCCAAGAAGCGGAAGGACTCGTTGTCCACGCAGTAAATGGTGCGCTTGCTAACCTCGATGTCCACGTTCGGAGGGGTGTCGCGGACCTTGTCCAGCATTGAAATCAACGGCGGCATCGTGTCTCCGGGGCGATAGAACGTGGACCGGGCGTTGGTGAACAGGAAGGCGATGTTGTCCTTAGCGCTCTTGTGGATATGGCTGAGCAGCTCCATGATGCAGAAGCGAAACATCACGTTCAGTCTCGCGTTGTTAGGCTTCAGCAGGATGCAGATGCCGTGGACGTACGTGTGATGGCCTAGAAACCGCAGGATGTTGTCGAAGTTCTTCTTGTCCTGCTCGATCCCCCGCGTATCTCCTATTCCAGGGGTGTCGATCAGGCGAATCCTGTGCTCCCCGTAGGAAAAGACGTAGGCTTTGCAAGATTGCGTGCACGACTTCCCCGTCTCCTGCTCCTCGTTCGCATCCCCCCTGCCAATGCTTACCTTGGTCCCCCTGTAATCGTCGACCCCGCAAACCGTGAACTGTGCCGGTATGAGGACAATGAGGTCCTCGCGGGCGTCCCTCATCTGGTCGAACCTCAGGTAGTTAGCGAAGGCATTGATGAACGTTGACTTGCCCACTCCCGTCTCCCCGAGCAGCAGAATGTTGATCTCCTTGCTCTTCTGCATCCGGGTCACCTCCCTATCGAGGTCAGTTTGCGTAGGGTACCGCATGTACGGCTCACCGTGCGCATCGTCTCGGCAGAGGAAGCTCAGAGACGCAAGCGGGGAGCGCCCGCAATCACAGTACACGTACCCGTCCCAGCCGTACTCGACTTGAGCAGTGCATCTTTCACAATGCCAGGTCCTCGGCGACGCCTGGCAGTTGCCGCTTACTGCCCCAGGACACCGGATTCGCAAAGGGGAGGTCTGATCGGGACCACCTACCCTACCTTCCGCGCTCGTCTTTCCCTCATCGTCATCATCATTGAGCCTCGAGGTTGGCTCCACGTGGCCGCATCTCACAATGGCCAGCGAGGCAAACCTCTCCACGTGTGCCACAACGTCGTCGTAAACCAGTTTACCCATCCGGTAGAATCTAATCACAGCGGTCGTGGGAGGTGGATCACCTCCTCCACCTCCTCCTCCTCCTCCTGCTCCACCTCCACCTCCTCCTCCTTCTCCCTCTCGTTCAGCTGCATCCGTGACACCAGGCCGAGGATATGTCACCGGCGGACAGCCATAACCTCCTCCTGAGAGTGGATCTTCTGGAGGGAGAGTGCGACTCCGGTGAGAAGCAGAGGACACGAGTTCCAAGAAGTAGAAGAAGACACGGACCGTGGGACCATTGAGACCCAGGGAGAAACCGCACGGTCCGGCTAGTTCAATCCTGCTGCTGCTGCTTCCTCCTGTCTGCACCCCTTCGTCATCGCCATGGCCGCCATAGCCATGGCGACCGCCGCTCCATCGAGGACGACGACGCCCACTCTCCACAACCAGCCTCTTCAGCAGCTCCATGTTCTTTCGCCAAGCCTCATCCTCTCGTGGCCCTTCGTCGTGACTGACCATAGCGTACACACAGTCGTCCTTGTGGCGGGAAAGAATGTCCGCAATGACAGGTTGATGCTGGGGTTCATTTTCTCTGCGGATGAACTCGATGCCGCTCCGGTGCAAATCCTGCAGGAAAACCTCCCTCTCCTTTACTTGAGCCGACTCTCTCTCAAGGAACGCCAGTTGATCTTTTGACCCGAAGCAACGCCAAAACCAATCGACCAACTCCAGAAGAGTAGTCGAGTCCTGCTGGCCCCCGGCAGCTCGGATGCTGAAGGTCAGCTGCGCGAATCTTTCCCTCAGTTGCTGGACCTTGTGAGCTAGTACTATCTTCGTCGCGCGCACCTCACCGATCTGAGCCATGGTGACAACGAGCTCGCCAAAAGACTTGCTGGAGGCATGCATCTGTCCGAGAAGACGGTCGAAGCGCTCTCCAAGGTCGAGCAGTCCCTGAAAGACCCTCTCTACCTGCGCAATGGACTCCTCGGTGGGGTGGAGAAGGTCCGACAGCCCCTCAAGAGACGGCCACGTCACGGGCAGAGGAGAGGGAGGTGGACATTCGTGCGACGGAGGGCGCAGGTGGTCCGCAAGAGGAGACAAGTAGAAGACGACGGGAGCTGCTTGCCCTTGATTCCCTCCATGAATCTCTGCGGCGCACTGCTGCAGCAGGTCCTCAAGATAGGAGATGGTTCTAGGACTCTCCCCTGCTTCCGGTCGCCATGCCAGGTCTGTAAAGATCCGGACGGTGAAATCCCTCTCATCCCGATCGTCATGAGGAGGGGGTCTTACACCCCCACCAGTCGGACCACTGCGCCCTCCGCCGCCGCCGTACCCGCTGCCGCCATAGCCGCCATATGCATAATTAGTATGATTGTGACGTCCAAGGTCGTGATACGCGCCGCCATAATAACCTTGATTAAAATGATGCTGCCCTTTCACAGTCGGAGGGGGCGGTCCTGCGCCGAGGTAAGGATCATCATTGCTCCCAGCCGGCGGCATGCTAGTCATACCTATCCCGCCAGCATCCTGGTGCGGTTGGGGGGGTGGAAACGCCCCGCCAACACCGTAATTGCAATGAGGATGACCTTCCGGGTGCGGAAAGGGCAGCCCTCTCCCGAGGCCATCCACATCGTTGCTCGGCGGAGTGCTAGTCCCACCAGTCCCACCGGTGCCACCGGGAGCACCGTGAGTCAGAGAGGCCTCAAGCGCCGCCACGCGTTGATCAAGCCAAGTCTGCAGCTCCGCCGCCGGCCTCGATCCGTCATCCTTCCCCAGGCCGGTTATGACCGCTACGACGGTGGCCCCTCTCACCATCCCACTGACAAAGTGCGATGGCCGCGCCCGTCCGTTCCAGCTTCCAGCAGCCGTTAGATGGTTGATCTCGTCTGCAATCTGTTGGGAGAGAGAGGAGGAGGAGGAGGAGGAGGAGGAGGGCATCTCCAGGTAGTGTTCGCTTGCTAGCACTTGGCAGACGATTGTGGCTTTCGCCGTTCCGCCGCCGCCGCCGCCGCCGCCGGCGAAACACCCCCCCGTCATTCCGCCGCCATCCCCATCTCCTCCTAGCCCTTGCGCGAGATACCTCCCCGGTCCCTCCAGATTGACAAGCCCTGAGAGAACGCTGAGCTTGAGCTGAGATTTGACGTCAAGGGTTCGAAACCTCGTGGCCAAGGAGTCATCCGCAACGCGTGAGATGCGCACCGATCGGCAAACTTTCCGCGCTTGGCGGAGGCTGTCCGTGCTCGAGAGGCGACCACTTCTTCCCCCATCCCCGACGAACGTGTCGGTGCGCAGGTCGTACAGATCCCCTAGGTTACCCCGCCTACCGAGCGCGGTCATTTTGATAACAGGGCCTCCTCTGTTCGACGAGTTCTGTCCTGCAGAGTAGCCCTCCGTCCTCCCCGTGTTCAGCGATTCGCTTGCGGTCATTGGACTGACGATCCTGTTCACAGTCGATTGAGACAAAGCTTCGATCTCTTGACGAACGTCATCCATCGGAAACGATGGAAAGCAGTTCCGCTGAAAACCTGCCATCACATTGGACAGCCCTGTAAAGGCCATCATGCCCTTGGGCTCTTCTACAACCTCGGGCTCCGGAGGCGCACTAGGCAGATACAAGGACTCCTGCAATGGTGTGTTCATTCCCATCCGATTCGCAGGCCGCGGACCCATCGATGACATCGGCTCCGTCATGGCCACGCCCGCCGATCCTGAACGAGTCGTCGACGACGCCGCCATCACTGGAGCTGCTCCCGCCATCGCTAAAGCTGGAGACATCACCGCCTCCTCAGATGGCCTTTGCGCACCCATTCTCGCCTATCCAATCGTCCCCCCTTCGTTCTCTGAAGCCGAGAGAGAGAGAGGCAGAGAGACAGAGACAGAGACAGAGGCAGAAACAGAGACAGCGACAGAGCGGAGAGCGAGACAGAGACAGAGAGGAAGGGTCGAATACCAATCCCTCCGAGAGCGAGAGACAGCGAGCGAGCGAGCGAGCGAGCGAGCGAGAGAGAGAGAGAGAGAGAGAGAGAGAGAGAGAGAGAGAGAGAGAGAGAGAGAGAGAGTCGAATACCAATCTTCGTTCAGTCAATCAAAGAGTGTTTCCACTGGTTTCGAACCGCTTACCTTACATGAAACAGCGTTTATCAGAAAGAATCTTTGCTGAGCTGAGAGGCGGACGAAACAACCTCACCTATTGCCAACCGTTACCCCTTCGTTTCTGAAGCGGAGAGAGAGAGAGAGATTGAGAGAGAGAGGATCGAATACCAATGTCCGTTTATTCGAGAAAAGAATACTGTTTTTGAACCGTTTACGTTGTGCAACAAACAGTGATTATCGGAAACGATCGCTGGAATGAGAGTTCGATGAAACAACGGCATATATTGCGCACCGTCCGTCGGTCTCGGTGGCCCACAGCCCCGCACACTTTTACTTCCCCTTTTTTTTGTCTTTCGGTGCCGCACACTTCCCGGCCAGCTGTGATGACCACACACACACGCTACGTAGCAACGTGCCTAGCTCATACTTGGTACACCTAGTATGACCTATTCTGTTGAAATGCAGACCTGGGTTCGAGTCCCAATGAACTACATGATTGAAACCTCAAAGTGCTGAATTACCTAATGGGGAGTCGGGACCGGTCAATCCGACGATGACATCCCAGGGCAATCGTCTTCGCGTAAGAAAAACAAATGAGAAAAAATGGAAAAAAAAAACAAAAAAATCCGTTGAAATAGACCAGAGTTCGAACTGGCCTGGAAGCAAATTAGGTAAATTACTGTGATTCTGAATTACCTAGGGCCGGTCAGTTCGATGATGATATCTCCTGGCCGTCGCCCTTTGGGAAAAAAAAGGGAAACAAAAAAAAAAGAATTGCCTACATTCAATTCCTAGCTAGGTATGCGCCTTCAGTGCGTTGATTAAAAAAAAAAAAAAAAAAAAAAAAAAAAAAATCCTAGCTAGGTCCAAGTGCACCTCACGGCCGCCGGTCCGCTGTGAGAACAGTGCAACATCTACCGTGCTGATTATTCCTCTTTAGGAAAAAACTGGGAAGAATAGTGCGTCATCTGAGAGGTTACTCACACTATCACTTTCTATGGTATATATAAGCGCATTAAATTTTATGAATCCTGACGGATGAATGTGACCGCAATAACGGCCGGAAACGGAGTCGAAAGAGTTCTAGAGTGTGTTCGTCCCGAATTCGACGGGCAAAATATGTGACAACAACATAGCAGCCACCTTCGCTAAATTAATCAATTCTCATTTTTATTCTTCCTTCTTTCTTTTTTTTCCCCCTCAGTCTTTCGTTAATTATGATAAATTAATAAAGGAGGAGGAGACGGGCTTACCGGAAAAGAAAATGAAGACGAAAAGATTAAAAATTATTAAAAATATATATATATTTGCCCAGACTCGATTTTCTAGCTAAATAGGTCAGTCTGCTCTGCTGCAGTCACTTTGTCCTTCTTATCTTCTTTATTTTATTGAATCACCAGTTTTTCCAACCTTGAACACCATTTTTTTTTTTATTATTATTTTTTTATTTTTTTAATACAACGACATAAAGAATACTCCTCTATCGGCGTTGTTCAGGTATCTACCCGCTGCTCACCCAGAGATCGCCGGATCGATTCTCTGGAAAGTAGAAAACGTTCTTAAGAGTCTAAACATTGAATGCTATTCTAACGGCACAGTCGAGGGGAAATTTCCGCTGAATTTAAAAGCATAAGCACTGGCACCCTGCGTATGGATGACACACGTAGATTGATCCACCGTCCACATCTAAATTAGAGAATTAAATTAAAAAAAAAAAAAAACATGACAAACAAGCAAAGTCCCTGCGCAAGCATGACACGTGCAAACGGTCCGAATTTAATAATTAAAAAAACAAACAAAAAAAAAACCTTACTCATTAGACATGGCTTTCTTGCCTACTCCCTGCTCAAATTATGACACGTGCATAAACTGCCAAACTATTAAACAAAAGAAGAAGAAAAAGAAGAAAAAGAAGAAGAAGAAGAAGAAGAAGAAAAAGAAGAAGAAGAACTTCGCTAATCAAACGTGACCGCTTATCCTTCTGTCAACGATGGTCGCGCATTGACTTGCAGATTTACATCCTTCCCTTGAGTCGATCCCAGTACCGAAGTAGAGGCTCGATCTCTTGCACTTGGGGTTGACAAAGTTGGTTACCCCTGAAAGCGAAATGCCGAAAGGCCATCCTGCAGCAAGGATAAGGCAGGCATCGAATGGAGCACGGACGGAGGAAATGGCCACATTCAGTATATTTTTTTTTAGTATAATAAAAAAATGGGGAACTACACGGGAGTCACAAAAATGAGTTATGATTCCCAAAAAAAAAAAAAAAAAAAAAAAAAAAAAAGAGTTTTGATTGAATTATGGGCCAAAATACAGTTTCGAATTGCAGTTGGGGAAATGTATACAACCAAGCTTTCTGCCCAGGTAGGGTGCCCCCCGAAGTGCAATTGCAAACTGTATCTTGCCCCATAGTGCAATTATAACTCTTTTTGGTGACGGGTAATTGCAGAAATAGCACGCTTTGGATGATTCGCAGCAGAAATGTTGTACGAATCCGAAAGATGTATTTTTGCAAGAAAATTGGGACCCCGCCTGCAAATATATATATTTTTTGGTGCGAAACTACCGGGACCTCAGGTGCAGGACTTCTCGTGTCAGCCAGGGTAGGTGTCTGGGTACGCTTAGGATATTTCCCGGCTGGTCCGTGTCTGCCACGAGCCTGATGTTCTTAGGTGTGGTAGTTTGTCGCAGTCCCCTGCCAGAGGTGTCTCGGGCCTAGCAGGTAGGCCTCCCTTCTCCTTCTTACTTGATGTCATGTTTTTATTTTTGTTGACTTTCTATGCTTGCCGGGTAATAAGTAACCGGACTGGTACCCCCCAGAATAGAAGGGGTGAGTGTGTTGTGTGTTAAAAAAAAAAAAAAAAAAAAAAAAACTACCGGCCCAGTACCGGGACCTCTAAAGCTGCAACGAAAGATCTAATTTTTGCAACGAAACTTGGGCCCCGCCCGCCAATATATTTGCTGTGGAACCACAGCGACGCGACGGAAGCTATTTTTGAAACTTGCCCTTTTATTTGCGCCTCTACTGAAGTTACCCCAAAAATATTTTGCTTGTGTTTTTGTTTTTCCCAGAGAAAGGGCCACAGCCGTTAAGAAGCCCCCACCTCCCTTCTTCTTGCAGCTTCCCCTTTCTTGTTCGAAAAACTTCTATCCATGAGCCTCGCTCCACTACTCACCACATGCACAAAAGACAAAAGATATGGCAGTCTATCTTTCCGTGTTCGAGCTGAAGATTCATTATCATGTTGCACGTTTTCGGTGAGTGGTGCACCTAGCCCCTATGGGATGGATGCTCATATCGCCTTCCTTACCAGTAGTCTCGGCTGGGCTATTTTCAAAAAGAGAAAAACGAAAAACATTGTCTTTTTTTTTCTTTTTTTTTTCTTGAGATATTATCATTGAGCTGACCGGCCCCAGGCAATTGTCTTTTTTATAGGGCGATGGCTGTAATATCTTCCTCTCTACATAGGACAAAGACGTTCTCTTCCTTTAATGGGTTGGCCTTTCCTCTGCTGTTCGCTTTGAAATCTGACCTCTGGAGAAGAGATTACCCTGATAAGCTTTTTGACAATTCGCTGGTAAATTTCTCTAGGAAATTCGGGGGAATTTCGGAAGAATGGCTACCGGTGTGGACCAAATGGGATCGTTTTTTGAAGTAGGTGTTTCTGTTGTACCCTCACAGCAGTAGGGGGTATGTTGGTGATGCTGTATGGATCTGTCTGTTTAGGGGGGTCTCCGGTTCCTGTCCCCCGTTGGTGGCACTCTGTGCTGTTTCTTCTTTTTTCAGCCTTTGGTACCTTAAACCACCAGTACTTGGGCACTGCGCGCCGTGCCGGCTGCACCTTTTTTGAAGCGGCGCGGGCTGTTGATACGATTTATCGACGGCCCGCCGGTAGCGAAATTATTGTAGCGTTAACGCTACGGCGTCGCCAAGGTACTGGTGGTTTAAGGGTGAAGCAACGTTTTCTTAGCTCTGTTTTTTTGGGTTTCGAGCTTGGATCTGTGGCTTGCTATTTGGCTCTTTTTTGTACGGTAGTGAACCTGGGACTGGTACTATGACAAGCATGCTGCTAGTCCTGAATATTTTGCTTTTTTCTTGGTCCGGTACGTCCAGTTTACTAAATCTGCTATCGGCATTTTTCTTGGTTTCAACATAGTTTAGTGTCCCTGGGTCTCCTTTCCCCGCTCTTGTGTAGGACACAGTGACTCGCGACTTTTTGGAGTATTGATGAGTTGACAAGGTGAATGTGTGGCCGGTGCTTTCGAAGTGGTCTTGGTTTCGGATGTAAGTCAATCCTGCACCGACTTCAGGCCCCTGATGATCCTGGTTGGCGGCCAGGTGAAACCGGTAGGGTCATTCGCCAGACGGGGACTTGTTTCTTCGCCATCATTGCGCTTCATGTTTTTTATCCTCAATCAAGTCGCGTTCGACCATGGTTTCTGTCTACTGTGTGATTTCCTCCCTCTTCTCTCTCTCCCTCTTTCCTTCTCTCTACTTACTCTGACCTCTCACTGTGTTGCAATGAGTGTTGGTGTGGTGTTGGAAGCATCAGCACAGTCTGTATGTTAAATACTGGACTTACTTTAACGCACGGAGTAACCGACGTAGAAGTGATACTACCGTTGTGTGGCTTCGCACTATATGACTAAGATTGCTTCTAATATGAATCCCAACATGAATGGCGGTGGCGTCAGGGGTCCTTGCTATAACTGCGGTCAGCATGGACATTTGTCTAAGTTTTGTCCTCTGCCAGATATACGGTTCAATGGGGCACAGGTGTC